TTTTTGAAAAATAATGGTTTAACAATTTGTTTTTTTCTTGAAAAAATTGACTAATCAATAAAACAATATTTACATTGAATGTATTTGCTAGAATTATCATTTCTAGCCTATTATTATTATTCACATTATGATTCCTATATTGGTAACAATAGATGCATATCATTCTAAACATGATGTACACTGACGTTTTGTCCGATTCTCATGTCGAACTGAAAAAAAATCCGAAATTCATATGGATTGTTGTCGTTATTTTGTCTACAACACGATCATGTACTCAATTATTGTGGAATCTATTTTGAAGGCTTTGTTTTTGGAAAATCCTTCCATGTTTATATATTTGTGTTACGATCTGACTGACTCTTTTTTTTCGATATTTTGGTACTCTAGATAATCCCATTTTTGGATTTCATCATTTGTATCTTGTTATTATTTCTATATCTTGTGCTTATAATAAAGTTTCTGGTAGCACTTATTTTTCGAAGATCTAAACTTATTGTCGTGATTAGAAAATCAAAGGTGTATTAATGTTTTGATAATTGTCTGTATTTGCTTTTTTGATTAAAAATAGAATCGTTCTTTCCAATTTAATATCAATCGTTAGTTACGTGATATCCGGCCACGAAAGAGATAGGTTTGTCACGAATTTCTTCTGAACACATAAATTAGGGTTGAATGTACGTATTCCTATGGCTTCTGCTATGTGTAGGAGACGGGATCGAACTCCAGTGGGAAATGATGGAGGTATACGATAGATCACCCGAAAATATCTAGATTTATCTACAATGCGACCACTATCTACCAGGTACGCTAAGATAGAACTTCGTATTTGTTTTTACAGACCCTTCGTAAACCATACTGGGAGATGTTCACTCACGTGTAAGCAACTGCTCCATAACCAAACTCAGAGGCATCAGGTTCGTCGATTCAGTTCCTGATTACTCAAACCACCGTAAATTAAACTATTTTACGCATGAGGTTCATCCAGTTTAGCCACATGAACATGTATAGCTCGTTTATGTGCCGGTCCCATTCTCTTTCAGATTTATATAATTTTTAAAAAAGTAGTTAGGTAGAAGGGCAGACAAGATTCAAAGTATCAAACAAAGAATCCTTTTCCTTGTCAAAAGCATTTCGGATACTACAGGTTGATTTCCTGTAGCATACCAAATATCTTCAGAACTGATAACTGAAATCCATGAAACGCTATCCAAGGGTCTGCTGCGTATCGGTAATTTTTCAGATTCCAGGTGGTTTAACTAGATTTCTCATCTAATGTAAATCTAAAACAAGTGACTTGGGTGAATAACGTTTATTACACTGATTGTAAATATAAATATCTATCATGACCTGAAGAAATATTTTCAATTCCTCATTCCTTCAACAATTTTTCAGTTATTCAAATCAAGTGCACAAATAAATATTATCCTATCCGTGTTGGATAGATCAGATTCGTTTGACAGATAATAACGGGTTGTTTTATATCATAGTGTTTATTTTTCTGAGTGTACACAGTGAAAATGCACAAATCCGCTCAATGCAACCGATACGATCGAAAGAGGAACGAATCAATTTGGTTGTCGGATAAATAAATTTTAGCCTACACAGCATACTGGAATTAAGAAAGAATTATACAAACTCAGTTAAGGAAGAATAAAATACGAATATCATCAAACAGATTGTCACGATACACAACTGAACCAATCAAAAAGAACATATTACTAAGGTGAAGATGGAGCGATTTTCACAAACAAAGCTTTCACATTGGATCTTGCATCCTGTCTTGCTCAATGTTTAAAGGATGAAATTATTTTGAGTTGGTTTCTGGTGGATGATATTATTGAAGATGACATAAATTTAGAAGTTGGGTTCAAAGGCAGGATCAAATTACAGTACTTATACAGCTCACTTGCGCCCAACTTTCGAAGTAGCAGCCGAACCTTCCAAGCATCATCTTGGTTGGCGAAATCGAATTTAAATAAATCTTCATAACACCGGAACCACATGTCAAAAGTGACATTTGCATCAGGTTCATAATGAAATTCAGATATGCTATTTGCGATGCCGTCGACCGATGGAGCTGTGGTTGCATTAGATAAGCTGGGCTGCGTGGAAGGGGAAATCTTCATGTCTGTCAACATCTGCATCAGTTTCAGCTGCTGCTCAAGTAGTAATTCCAGTTTGGCAGGATCCATATTTCCAAAAGCACCGTCGCCACTGATAAGTTCGTCACTTAGTATGCTTGAGGCTATTACGAGCTTACCTTAGTCGATAAACGCGAACGAGACTTTCACCAGCTTCCAGGGAGGCTACCTTGAATACCCAAAATCGAATAGAAGGCTTTGTTAGCGTAGAAAGTATATTCTACAAACACCCAGCAATCACAGTACAATCAAGCATTCAACTCTCGTTTATTTATACAACATAAGAACGTCCTTGAGACAGTTAAGGAAATAGCACACTAAAATACAGAGCAGCAAATGACAGCCATGGATTTTCCTGGTGAGAATTGAAATCTCAAGGTCATCTGATCAGCCCAGGCTGGCGAAACGTGAAAACAAAAATACGGCATTATCAAGCGAATTTTGGGGATCTAACATCCCCAACAGATAAGTACAGTTAACACTGTAATCACTGCACTCATTGTGCACAGGATTTGAGAATATACACCACATAATCTCGAAAATGAACAAATAAGCAATAAGATCGTTGATAATCGATCTCTATGAATATTCACTGGTGTCACTAACTTCGGGTTAACGGAAACAAGTTTTGATAATACATCAGTATTTACGAATAATAATATCAGACTTCCGTATTCAAATACTTTGAGGTTACTGACGCATAAATATATTTTGTCATTCTATGTTGTGTTTTGTTCTCGTGTGGTTTTTTGGAACAAGTCTATTTATCGGAGATGAAGACATCAGCCTGGGGAAATAAAGCGGATCAGGGTCGAAAGATTTTCAGTCGGAACGACGTTAACAACAGAATAAATGTAGACAGATTCAGAGGTGGACATGTAAAAAATGAAAGGCGTTAGGGATAAACTTGATATGAATCCGTTTGATAGAACTATTTGTAGTATGCACGAGAAGCTGTCGGTACTCTATAAAGAAAAAAACCCCACAATAAGTAATTTGTTCAGAGTTTGTATGTTTTTCAAATCTGTAGGAATCATGATCTCCAGTACGCAGTTAGATCATTGGAAGCGTAAGAGTATTGCTTACCAACAAACATTTCTGAATAAGATTTAGTAAATTAAATGTTCTGCTTTGGTTATTAAATGTATATTGTAATCCTTCGATGGTATCCATGAAACCAGTTGTTGACATGAGATGTATTTTTATGGTTACACGCGTATCTCGGTCAAGATCATTGTGGACTTATATGTCGAAACATTTCGTGTCTCATAGTATAACAATAGTATGAAGTTTCAAAACAGGTTTCATTTGCCAACTAACAGAGGGCTGAAGTCTTCATTACAAAATTCATGAATCAGTTCAACTAAGTACCTACAACATCACAGTACTAATCAAATCTAGCGCCAGCTGAGAGCTTTGACAATAATCGAATTGCTAGGACTAGATACTAAGAAAACTAAGGTTTTTTGCACTGTGAAGTCATTGGAATGTTGTATTATTCATTCCAAAGCAAACGACTGACATTTATCTGCTTCAAAAATATTCCTAGAAAATCATACGCTTTGTTCTAGAGTAGATTAAATGAACTGAGATTTCAGGAGTTCCTCATTCACCAGACTTAGTTTTTCACACCACCTATCATCAAAAATGAGCTTTTACATAAAATTAGCTCTGCAGCTGACAGTAGCAACTACGATGGTATCCTGCAACTGATCACAAGACGCAAACCTTTTCAACATTATTCATCAGTCATATAATACATGACTCAGGACTTGAACACAAACTTTCGATAATGCAACTAAACCATCAAATCACTTGTGTTTCTTGTTTTCCATAATGGTGTGTAGAACATTAACAAGCATTTTGCAAACAACTTCAACGTCAACGGCCTCCCATTCCACATTCAATGCACATGCACTTTGTGGTTTTAGTCTAACTCTTTTCCTATGATCTCGACGATTTCAAGATGAGGCTTGCGGAAAGAAACATTTGACTGGTCACCGATTTGTGTTATTCTATTAACTTCCTACCCTGTCTTATTATTTCTTCTTTATCTGGCATCAAGCTTCTCGTGTAGATTGGTTGATTGTTGCTGGTACGAATTACCTTGCTAATAAGCATCTGTATTTTTTAAATGATGACTTTAGTAGTATTGAAAAGTTTCGCTGTGTACAGTATAGATGTTTCAGGGTCTCTAATGAAAATGTCGCCTTTGGTTTTGGATGACAGTTATTTTGAGTGCTGATAGGTTGTAAATGTTAGAATTGGTAAAATTGATTTGCTGGTTCATGTCTTTCATATCTGCATCAAATGCTCTCTATTCATTATTAAACAAATTAACTAGATTACAGTTGGTAACAGAACGTCAAGAAAGTTGTTAGATACATTTACATTATCAAAAATCCTTTTAAACCTACTGCCTATTGATGCACACCAAATCGTCAATTGCATCCTAGTTTCAAGAATCGTTGCTTCACTTTCAGAAACTTTATTCCTGCTCACAGAATTAAGCTACGGTTTTTTGGTTTACGACTCACAAGGCACAAACTGTTCTATCGTTGTAACAACAAAATATTATCGTGAAGATGCTCATAGAAAATTTGTCAAGCCAACTTATGGTGCTATATTTTCTTTCAGTCAAAACGTCAGGAAATTATGAATATTTTCTGGAAACATCATGAGAGTGGATTTCAGTGAATGTCTGCATTATTTAGTCTACAGCATGATTTATGTGTACGTTTTGCTTCGCGGTTAGCGTGTAAGAAATAAAATGTCACTTTTGTTTCATACGTCAATTGTACCGGTCCTACAGCTCAAACGTTAGCTGGCGTTAAAATTATTAATAAACAAGAACCACAGTTTTCAAAATGATTATCTATTCCTCATTTTATCAAATAACATTCTAAAATGTTATCAAAATATATAAGAATTAGTTACAAAATGAAATCCAACGTTGATACGTGTAATGACGAACTTCCGAGGATATTCCATTCACAACACATCACTCAGAACTGGAACTAAAACAGAACAGAAATATTTTTATTTACTGTCGTAGCGTGAGTAAAAAAATCTAATACGGTTCAAAGATTAATGACTATGTGTTGATTGTTCGTCAATCGTTTGACGCTGTATACTCAATCCAGTGGTCATCTACAAGGTCACATGCTAAAGGCTGTGTATCATATATTTATTTGCATAAACGAGTCAATATTACTCGTTAAAATCTGAATATCCATTCAATTATGAATGCAAATATCATTTATGGACAGCCACGGCATGACTGGTACTTTTATCAACGGAATACACAATTTGAATGGTTGCTTACGTGTTTCATAACGCTTTCTCAGTTCCTTATCAATTCGTGACAGCATTTCATTTTCAACTGAAAACAGAAAACATATCGCAAGATTCATTCAGTGATTGTGTGTTTTTCACGTGACGAGTTACCATTTTTGTGTGACATGTATTCTACTTATTGATTGTCATGTGAATCAAACAGAAACATGGAAATGTTCATCAAATTGTCAAGAGACGGATATGATTGGTTTGAAATAATTGTAAGCACATGTACATGGTTTGTATAGTGTAAATGTTACTTACGGAAATAAAGATTATATGTCAATCTGTTTTCGTGTAAATCATGAAGCTTTGCCAATATTTGTTGGCGTACTACAGAATTCAGTAAATTATTTAGTAATCGATATGACAGTGAAAATAGTTATATGTATACCGATGAGTATAAAAATTATTAATTTCTAATAGAAGGATTAGTGACAGGTATTTCTAACTATGCGTGTTAGTGAAACTGTGGAAAAATAGAGGAAGACTGTGCGTACATTTACTGACTAACACAATACACAATCACTACACATTTGCAACATAGTATTATTTAAATTGAATTTGAGTTGAGGTCAGTCAAGAAATTACTAATAGAAAGATGAGAAATGCATAAATATTTTCTTTTAATTATTATTCATCAAATGTCTACATAGATATATTTTTTTTACAATAGTGATAAAACATGACAATCAGATGAATATGTCATGTCATGATTACATAAGAGTGTTTTGTTTTAGCGATTGATAAGTGTAGAATTGACCAGCTATGAGAGAGAAAATTCGATATTGACCCAAGTTTCAGAACGATGAATTTCGAATAGACGATTGTAGCAATAATATTATAAGTGAAAGAATTATTGATTAGCATTTCAGTAATAATATTATCACACAAAGTATATCTATTTGAGGCACTGATAAAGATGGATTCAAGCAAGAATCATTTATAGCCGTTGTGACTATTTGTTTCACGTATTCTCATACTTAATTTGTGAGTTCACCAAAGACTACGCAAAATACACAATTGATTACTAATGATCCGATGAGTTCTTCAGCTGATAAATCTCAATCAATGCACATTCGCCTTGTGATAACTAAGATAAAAACTTCTCTCAATTAGAAAGTGGAACATATTTTGTAGCAATAATTAAACTATTTATTAACAAAGTTTAAACACACCACTTCAAAACTCAACGTATATTTTTCTATTTACTTCTTATCGAATGGAATGTGTTATATCAAGAAGTATGATGTACACGGAAATTACCTGCATGATCAGCGGCTGATAATTTGAAACACTCTGGTCGACTATATTTCGACATAATAGCTGTAAGAAGAAAATATAAGTTATGACAAGTCGTTTATTTATATTTAATGTCATTGATGCATAGAAAAAACGGTTATTGAGTTTTCGATGTCATGTCAGACTCTGAAAATTGAGGTCAATTGAATACATGCATATGAGGAATTGCTTATAGACCCACAAAGTAAAGGTGCATTGAAACTGACTAACAGCTCTCCTTATGTAAATCAAACGTGCTATATTGAATTATCGCAAACCAACGATCGTCAGCTGATGAGCATAGGGTATGAATCAACTAAACAAATCTTTAGCAATCACCATATTGGATCACGAAGCGCTGAGACAGATAAGTTTATTTTCATCTATTCATTCAGATTATTAGTTCACGGATATTCTACATAACTATTCTGGTTCACATACACTTGATGTACTACATCGTGTAACGGACTAGCTCTGTGTCAGCTTGAACTATCAACTGGCTCACTTTATTCAACGACTTTAAAAATATCTAATGTTTGCCTAATCTTATTCAGACAATCAGACAATGTATCTGGTTAATGATTCTTACTTTCGTAAACCCGAGATTCATCTTCAAAACATTTAAACAGTGAATCCCATTTTTTCAGGGTAACGTCTGAATGATATGAATAAATTTGAAAAAAAAAACTATTTCACTCAGTCAAATTCTGGAGAACAGATAAAAAGATGTTGTGTAAAACAGCAGAACGCACAGCTTTCAAAGCATAATCATAATTATGGAAATATTCATGTGAATAAAACGCAAAATTTAGAAGAAATGTGTCTTTGTTCAGCTGATGGTAGTTAATGAATGCCACCTGAAGCTCTGCAGTATTTATCACGAATAAAAGTACTTACTATATTTAACTTCTTTTCTTATCAAAAGATTTTCAAACTCTGTTGCATTTAGAATGGAAATAAAACCGACGTAAAAATAGATCCGATTTAACATTAATTTTACCTACGACGACACTGATCAGAGTGATATTTCTAACAATAGGTATATGAGCTTGTAAAGCTAAATAATCTTATAAACCAGATTTAGCATTGTCTTTTGAAATTTCATATTGAAATACAGTTGCTAAATGATTGATGAAGAGCATGTGAAGTTTTCCTCAGTTTCTGACAATATCAGCAATATATGCGTTAGATGCTTGCACCGAAATCAACATAACTGCTATGCAATGAACAAAAATGTGACAAATAAGTGACGTGTACACTGTCATTTTTTATCGACCATATAAGCAAATATTACTCAAATGATTATTTCTTCTACAAATTCACTAATGAATTGACCTTTGTAAACCTTACTGAACTGATCTACTTACACCATAAAATGGCATGTCAATAGTGCTTGCAAGTCATTTTATTACCTCTAACAAAAAGAATTTTCTTTCTGGCATCAAATCGTTTGTTTGTACAATTCACAACTAAAGGGAACAGTAATAAGAGTAGTGATAGATTCTTCAAACCTACAATTTTTGTTCGACGCTAAAATTTCATTGTATAATTAAATGAAAAAAAATGAACAAAGAATTAGTTAAATTGAAACATTCGATTCATTCAATAATGATATAAGTATCAGCTTCTAAAAAAACAAAACAATTGTGCAGACATGATATACATTTCGACCATTCCTTGTCAAAAAGCACTTTCAGGTTATATTTATTAAAAGCATAGTCATGCTGACATGAGTGTAGTAATGTAGATATTAGGAAAATGGATTCATACAGTTAAAATTTACAGCTAAATTACCAACATATTGTGTGAGATCTCTGATATTATTTTGTAGATCACGTAATGAATGCTCAGTGTAATCTATAAATTAGTAATGATAAAACATATTGACAAAGAATATAAGTAACATATAGCTTTCAGGTGACATTAAACAATTTGTGTACTGACTGTGGTGAATGCCATTCAAATGTGGTCTACTGAACAACTAGATGAGACTCAACTAGAATTTACAATGTCGGAAATAATTGAAGTGTTTAAGGTGGATCAATTCTTTTCTATCTTATCACTGTTCATCAAATGGTCAATTTAAAACGAACTGCCTAATGAATGATATTCCAATGTGAAATTTAGAACTTATATTTTAAAAAACCATGTTAGGTATAATGAAGAAACATAAAAACGTAGGGCATTTCTTTCATTCAAAAAATAGCTCTACACAATGTTCAGTTCGTCTGCATATATGCGGATCTCAGTAGATTTGTTTTCATCTTGAGAATTATTGAATACATATTCTAAGATGAACGATAGTACAACTCAATTTTGCTGACTATCTGGACATACACAAAGGTGATCAGTTATGCATTAGGATATATTCCACAGAAACAAGTAACCAAGTCAATCTACACTAAGCGGTTTTCAGCATATGAACATGTAGCAACATAGAAATTACAATTTGCATACTTTTCACTTCTTCCATTTCCAATTTCAGTACGTTCATCAAATCTATCATAGAAATCGTTTAAATACATCATGCGTAAACAATTACTACTGTCAGTAAACAGTTTAGTCATATATGCACATGTATCGAATAAGTTTACTGTGACTGCTTAAATCCCAGTGAGTTTACAAAATGAGAGGTTGAGAAATGAATTTCGACATTTTCAAATTGAAAATAAAAACCTAGATAAATCTGTCGGTATCTGTCTGTATCATTCTATCGTTCGGCGGATTAACGCGAATCAATCCTAACGAGCTCCTTTTAACAACGTCTATGTGATATAACAATTTTTTGTATGATTAAATATATTCTGTGTAAAGAGACTACACATTGACTGAATAGATCGACTTGGTTAGATTTCTAGCAAAATTTCTCATTTCATTAATAAACTTGAGTATGTTTAGAAGACTGAATATATTTTATTACGTCAACTGATCATCTAATGAATTTGCACCTGAATTCTTCTTAGTGATATATTTTAAAAACTAAAATGAATGAACATTTTCCATATCCATTAAAGGTTCATTTCCACAGATCATGTTTAAAGAAGAATCAATCAACAAACGTGATATCTAGCAATTGTTGATTACTAAAGGCACCTTTTTCAAAAAATCTTTTCTGAAGTATTTGTAGAATACAGTAGGACACTTAGCAGGCTCATGTGATTTACTTTATACTAGGGTAACTGCTATCAAGTACAATTTAAAATGTGAAAACTTACCATCTTGTTTGAACATCGGAACCAGTGACAGAAAACAGTATATATGAAAATAAAGTAAAAAAGACATGCTTACTGAAAACTTTTTACTTCTATCTTTCTATTTATAGAGCTTAAAATATCTAGGGGTTCATAATAGATTTTTCACTACCAATCAAAATGTATATTGAAGTTCATAATTTTGTGCGTATTATCAAAAGGGGTCAATAGATCACTATTATTTTTGTTGACTCCACGCATACATTTTTTTGTCACGTCGATTTGCAACCAACTATCTATGAGGCTGATGTTAGTGAAGCTAGTCACATTGCCACCTGTCCGTACTTATCTGTCTCACCGAAGGACTGTCACAAACTGCAAACCCACTGCATCATTTGCATTGTCAGGCGAATTCTTCAATAGAACAAGTATTGTTCAATGTGCTCATGATCATGCTGACTATTCGAAATGAAAAATAACCCGCAAAAATTTTACCTAATATACTAAATTTCAATGATCAACATTAAACAGAAGTATATTATGGAGAAATAAGATACGGAACGTAAAAATAACATAAGCAGAAAATATAGATGATAACCGAAGGATAGTTCTCTAGAAGCAACAGTTCGGTCTCTTATACTGTTGCAAATCCAAGGCAAAAATAAATTGACTTGGAACAGTATACCCGATTAAACATCACACAATTCTGATGATTACTTTGCCTGTTGGATGTTGTAAATTGATTAGATGATCGCGCGCACGTAATCACGAATGAGTGGTGTAGCATGTTTGTTATCGGGACATGTGAACAATGTTACAATAGTTTTGTCATTTATTCTGCTGTTGAAAACTAAGCGAATTGGTTTGAATATATATGATTCACTTTTACCTAATCTTTTGTGATTCTTCTCGTAAATACACATCCACGCATTGCACGATATTTGTTTATTCAATGTTTTTCTACATTCGTTATATTTATTGTACGTTACATTTACATTTCATTTTTGTGCTCTTATCAAAGTGAAACTATCAATGTTCACTTTTCATATCTTCACTAATAATTAGGATTTTCTACACAAATTCATGAATACGTCTAGCCAGTTACTCGATTGTACAGAAATATGCCTACATGTGATTCCGAATAGTGAACGAATTCAAGTCAGTACTATTCGTTGATTCATAGTATTTTGTGAAATGCAAATCGGACATTGTAGATTAGTCAGTTGTGATGGAGAAAATAAACTGCAGTATGTGGTGGAGCATAGAGTTACTGGGAAAGCGTGAAAAACGCTGAAATTCTTTTATTCACATCTTTGTTGAATGACACTGAACGTGGTGGTAGAAGCAAATAACGTGACAATGAGGAAAATCTGATTCATTAAAAACAATTTCACTCTATCGAATTGACTTTGTTTTGGTGACTGACTGTGACAGCAACACACGTGTACACCATGTGTTCTAAATTGTGGAATAGGTGATTAGAAAAGTTTGATGTAGAAGAGCATCTGTATTGGAAAAAGGCGATATCATTTCACTGTTTGGTGGCTTTGATTAGACACTCAACATATCGTTCGGCGTTTCAATAGTGGTTCACATACGTCGCACAACATCAGGACGTGCTGTCGGAGAATATGATGATGTAAAGTTCATGTCAACAAACAAAGCTCAAATCTTTCGAAGTAATAATTTGACATTGTGTCCGAAAATTTTGTAAATTTCCTGACAATATAAATCAAAAAGAGAATGAAACCGTTGTTAATAAATAAAATACGTTCTGATAATTGTTGGTTTGAATTGTCAAGCTATAAAGCAACAATATCAGTAAAGTTTTGAATAATAATCTTGTTTTTCAGTAGTACAATAAGCAGTAGAGTTCACTGTCATCATAAGCGAGTCTGGTTCTACAGATGCATCATAATCTGAGCAACAAACATATTCGGAATATATCAATCGGTTTCACTTCACACTTATTTTCATTTTAATACGAGAATCACCCTTCATCACTTCTTTGTTGAAATAAGGTTTGTGATACACTAAGAAGCCATTATTACTAATGTAATCATGATTATTATTATTATTATTATTATTGTTATGACCTTATTCTTGCACCTTCTACATCACACTTTATGGCGTGTTAAAGTTTTGTTTAATTTTAACTTATTTTTCATCTTTGGTATGCATCAATAATTAGTGAATATTTCAATATTTTTCAAAACAATATGTTTACTTATATCATGGTAAAAGCTCATTATAATTTATTAAGTTAAAACAACATCATTGTTTGCATTTTTCAAGTTGTTGTACTTTGCCAAATTGTTTTGGTTGTTATTACTTTTATAAAAAATGTACTAAGTAAGTTCATGATATTCTGCTACTTTTTTAACTTTGCAAACTTTAATCTTTAATATTTTTGAATAACAGTGAACTCAATTACGGTAAAACAATATCGACGATGAGAAGGATTGTACAACACTTGAAAAAGATTCAAATTGATGGTCAATCATAATTTGTAAACAATGAACTGATCATTTTTGTTCGACGTAGATGAGTGTTTTCAACAACGTTGTTCTTTGGAATGGTGATAGTGGCTAATACTTTCCAACGTTTGTTGATTGAACAAACGATTTGGTTCAACTGATTGATATCAAACATTGTTGTGCACACTACCTTTCTTTGTTTGTGAAATGTGAAAGTGTTTCTCAGGTGGATTCAATAACTTATACTCACACTTTGTCTATAAGGCATGCTGTCGTTCTCTCACATTATCCAAATATCGTTGACAATGTTTACGCTTTGGTTGATCATAATGTTTGTAACATATACTGAAAGTGGCCTTGTGTAAATCGGTGATGTTGGTGATTGGATCATCACAACTAACGTTGTAACTAGCAATTCGGTATTCAGCTCACTGCTATTGAAATGCTTGAAGTTCATTATTGCGTCACATTCATGAAATCTATTGATTGAATTTTCATATTTACTGCTGACATTCTGAAAGTGTAATGTAAACAAACACACTTCTCAATTCTATTTTCATTAGTGAATAATGTTACTTCTTCACAGTTACAAATTGGCTTGCTGAAATTATCCACGAACGAACGATATTGAATCTCTTGTTTAGCTCACACTTATAACTGAAGCGATATTTTAATGAAATAGCTTGAATGCCAGTGAACTCCAAAGGTGGGTCAAAGTGCGCTCAGAGGGCGAGCCACAAAACACTGATAAAGAAGACGGCTGTACGGAGATCAGAAAGACTACGACGACAGCTTATTAAAAGTGGGGACGAGTGTGGTGCTGTGGTGCGAGCTACTTATAAGTTGTGATTTGTGCCAATACATGATATAAGCAAAGTGGCTGAAATAAGGATGGCAACGGACGTCTCGACCAAGAAACCTAACGTTAACGAGTTATGCGCAAAGTATGCGAAACTGTTCACTGGAGATGGGGAGCCGTATGGATTTTGTGACAAAGCAGAGCATGAAATTCCTATGAAGAATGACCGAGTAAATATATTTGCAACACGTCGTGTTCGGGTGCATTCAGAGGCCGAGGTCAATCGACAGGTCCAGGAAATGTTGAAGGAAGGTATAACTGAGGAAGCAGACAGCCCGTATAGCGCACCGGTACTCTTGGTAAAGAAACCCAATGGAGAGTATAGATTTTGCGTCGACTTTAGAGAACTGAATAATATAACAGACCTGAAACCGTGCGCAATGCCAACAGTAGTAGAAACATTAGATCGATTACAGAATGCCACGATGTTTACAATGCTGGATTCACTACCTATAAAAGATAGCGATCGCAACAAGACAGCATTTACTATACGGGATAAACAGTATCAATTTAAACGAATGCCGTTCGGGTTGGCTGGTGCACCGTTCACGTTCAGAAGATTGATGACGCTGCTGCTTAAGAATCTAGATAATGTGGAGGTATATGGCGACGATGTAGTTGTATACAGCCTAACGGAAACAGATCACGTCAAGCATGTGGAAGCGGTCTTAAAGCGAATTGACGAATTCGGGCTTCGAATTAATAAGGAAAAGTCGCAGATAGCGAAAAACAGAGTCATATTGTTGGGACATAAAGTGGGAAATGGAGAATTAAAGCCATTACCAGAGAAAATTCTTACCATAAAAATATTGCAGTACCTAATTCAAAAAGGAAGTTGAGACAGTTCCTGGGAAGAGCGGCATTCTATAGTCGGTTTGTCAATAATTTCAACGAAATAGCAGCGCCCTTATATAAGTTGCTGAGCAACACCAAGTTTACATGGACTGATGCTGTCGAACAAACATTCAACCAAATCAAA